TGAATGCCGAACTAGATGAAGTGAATAAATGGACTCTCAGTAATTTTCTTTTTATCAACCAAAGAAAAACCGAATTCGTAATTTTTGGAACTGATGCTAGGCTTTCTAAAGCTACTGACACAGTAGTTATCAAAATAGGTGATTGTGAAATTAATAGAGTTTATGATTTTAAGTATTAAGGCATCGTTCTTTACGATAGTCTTACGTGGAAAGACCATGTTCGTTATGTTATTTCTAAAGTTGGTAAAAGAGTTGGTGTCTTAGGGCGCCTCAGAAGGAATATCACTATACATGCAGCTTTCGAGATGTATAATTCATTAATTTTGCCCATTTTTGATTATTGCGATGTTGTTTGGTCCAGCTGCAATAAAGCAGATATGGAAAGTTTTGAATCTTTGCAAAGGCGGGCCTCGAAAATTATAGTTAATTCTAAATGTGGTACAACATCCACCGACTATTTCAAATTTCAGAGTTTAGAAGATCACCGTAACGCTCATATTTTAGGTTTAGTGAAGAGGTGTTTAAAAAATAATGTAACACAGTTTTAAAAGAATTATTTTAAGTTGAATAAGGAAGTTATTTTAAGAGAAACACGAAGAAGCAATTTTATATACTTACCTGCAGTAAGAACTGAGACCGCCAAGAAAAGTTTTTATTATAATGGCTCAGTTGTGTATAATAATTATTTAGTAAATAAGAATTGACTTTAATTGTTGTACTGTACTATTATTAACTTATAGTTACTTGGTTTCTTATTATTTATTTTGAACTTTTTATTAGTTTTAATCTAGGGCTCCTATTGATAACAGATATACTTTTAAGTATTCTGAAGGGATTACCCTAGTTAAATAAAGGTTTGCTACTGCTACTATACTCTGGTTAAGAATTTATGGTTCCTTGTTTCAAAACACATTTTGGCTTAGTGTGAAAAAAGTTTTTGACAATTTATTGTGTAAAAACATATTTACTGTATTGAAAAAGCGAATTTTATCAACGCTGCTGCGCTGGTTTCGGCCTTTCTTCTCTAATTTGGGCTTTTCAAGGCGTGAGTGCATTCAAATCTCCCTCTTCAATGCTAATGAATAATTAATGATGTCCTGGCATTCTGTGCGATGATTCTGTGCTGTTTAAAAACTAACAGGAGGTAAATTTTCCCTTAGAATAATGGTGCAATATTTTCTCGTTCCATTTCTTAAATTTCGAGGTAATGTTAGACCCTTACTATTCATACTTACAGCGAAAAAAACACTGCAGTCGAACTTCTGTAATACAAAAGAACTTATGGACGAAGTAAAATGTCAGTATAAGAGATCTGTCCGTTTCATTATTAAGTTCAGTACGGTGTAACTCTTAAGATTGAAGTGTCTATAGAAACATGAACAGGCATACTCGTGCTTCTTTTCTCTGGGTATCAAGAGACCATGATTGTCTGAGATTCAGCGTGCGTTGTCCTTATTAGAGAGGGTCCATATCAGGAGGGTTCCTTATTATAAGAAGAAGATTGCTTTTGTATTTAACAAAAGTTCAAAAACTTTAGGTCCCCACGTGTTAGGTAAGTCAGTCTTCAATTTGTAGATTATTTCATCTGTTATTCTGATCCCTCACCAAAAGTTCAACGTTTCAACCAATTTTTTGGAGGATTGCTAAAATGACTGAAAAAATCGTGGTGGACAAACCTAAACTTATATTCTGTCAGACGAGGAGAGCATAATGTAAAAGATTCGTTGAGATTTACATTGTACAATAAGGTAGCAACCCCAATTGTGTATATCAGTTTTCCGTAAACGGTTGGAGTAGTTTGATGCATAATTTTAAGACGAACGGTAATTTCAGCAAATACTTGAGCTTGACGAACTTATTTCGACTGAAAATAAGTTATAACCGCAATTTGGTTGTCGGCTTGGAAAAAGTGGTGATTAGAGGAGGGAATTGCCCAGGAAATCGAAAATTAGGAGCACAATTAAAACACTCTGCTCGAGCGATTTTACACCGAAATTAAAAACAAACATGGTTAAACCTCGCAAACGACGATTTCATTTCATCGAAAGTGACTCGGACACGGACTGAATAATTCCTTGAACTTTTTAGCCGGACTTTGAACTTTTTTTCGCCTTAAAGATGTGAAAACATCTTTGTATTTATTGTTTAGATCGTACGCGATTGTTTTGACCGAACGCACAATGTCATTTGCAGGGTTTGAATAAATTATTTTTGCACTTGATGCGCGCGCCTTGCTTTTGTATAATTATGATAAGCTATCTCGTAGTTTTTCATGTGTATTATTAATACGTAATCACATGATTTTTCTCGTAAATAAGCAGTTGTAAAATGTTAGTCTTTAAAAAAATTTACTCGTGCCTATTTATTCCAAATTGCACTCGAAATCATGTGATTACCCATACTTATATACTAACTTTACTTGCATGACTGACACTACTTGAATAACGAGGATCAATTGAAAAGCCACCGTAATAAAACTTTTAACAATATACACCCACAGCTTGCTTACTGATATACACTGGCCTAAATGACTAAATCATGAAAATCATATATGTGAACTGCGGTGGAAGAGATAAGTATTGAAGCGACCTTCGCAGCATTGAACACTACTTAAGCAGTGGTGAAATTAAGGCCTGAAAAAGAGCCAGAATATCTCCATAAGGTATCTGACGTCTACCATAACAATTACTTAATGCAATGCCTAAAGGTAATTTACGCAGATGGAAATAGATCTCTAATTCATAAACGTGAATTGTCTCCGTGGTACATCACAGAGTCTTGTTCCAGGCGAGAAGCGTCTTACATTCTAGTAACGCGGTGCACGATTTTACACTTTGGTAATTTTGCAAAAGCAGTTTGGCAACATGTCTCGCATCTTGTCTCTTGGTACCTTCACTGTGCTGTGCTCTCTGATGTGTGTTGTGAAATGTAAAGAAGATGGGTAGATTTTTTATTAATATCAGGGAAAATTTTTAAAACTGGAAATTTATAATGCGTTTGAGCAGGAATAAACGAAAGTAATTCACTTCGAATGCTCTATTCTGACTATTACCAAAATTCCCAAGTTTTCAAAATGTTCTACCTTCTGATAGGAGAGTAAAAATGTTTATAAAGCCATTATGAGGATATGTAAATCTCCTAAAAGACAGGTGGGATCTACCTCACGCAAGCTGTTTTACGCAGGCGGTTGGGATAAAAAGGATCATGAAGTTTAGGCTATAAATTCGGCACAAATTCATGTTGCACTCTTTTTAATTTGTTAGTATGCTTTGACGCTGAAGAAAAAACTCCCTACGTGCCGCTCACAAAATTTCATAAGATGACTATGGAATTTAGTCAGCTAAAGTGAAGCAATCATCCATTGTTCTCTCAGCATATTTACACAACGAAATAAATAAATAGAAAATTTCAAAAACCTCCCCCGAATATCTAATTAGTCCTTTAACTGTCGCTTTGAAAATGATTTTCGATTAGGATCAGAAGCAAATATGTAGAATTGTAAAAACGGTCGAAATGTCGACACAACCTTTTTATCGCGTGAACTTCCGTCGAATACATCTAAATCTAAATTTAGAGATAGCTCCTTCTGAAAAAAATGTAAACGTTTTGTGGTTTCAAATTCACGGGTAAGGAATAAGTTTCGATTAAACAACGAAATATTCATTAGTTATCTAGAGACTGGAATTCTTAAGGAACACAATCATCTCGAAAGAAATAACCGAATTTAGTTTTGTCTCATCTTTTTATCATCATTGTCTGTATTCTACACTGACATAATGAACTTGGAAAAACACTGGGAAAGTTGCCCCCTAAATTTTTCTCCAATCTACATCCTAGATCCTAAATTGCTCGTCTCGATACTAACTTTTCGTGTTTTGAAATGCCAATTCTTCAACAAAATTTGCATCTTTTTCCTTTGACAGGTACAGAATTGAAGATTCACCTATCGATAAAATAAATACACTTATGCCTTAATTAAAATCAGCCGCATGTCAAAAGTTTGTTGACTTCTGCAAAGTAGTTGAAAACACGAGCGCAAATTATCCCATAACACATCACTGAGATACAAAAGGCGACGCTTTAAGAACGCACTTGAAAATTATTAAAATGGAACAAATCTTTTTCAAGGCGATGTCTGTTGCAATCCTCCTTGTTTAAGTCTCTGAAAATAAAAACAAAAACACAACAAAACACAACAAAACAAAATTATTAATTTCTTCCCGTAAACATATAAATAAACTCTTTCAATAGGATAAGTGTCGATATTTATTTAAAAAGAAGACAAAACAGAAAGCTTTAAGCCTCTCCTGGGAAACCATACAAGTTACACCTGCAGCCACTTCCAAAACAACGCACTGCATAGTGGTACATACAACACAATCTAAGAACAGCGAACCTACGTGAGAATTTCGCAATTCTAAAGAAGTGCCCTAGAAAGCTCGACTATCTTATATTCGAGATCCTCCTTATAAAAAAAGAAAAGACCGGACATAAACCTTTCAGAACATTACTCAATATCGTAATATTCAGTCATGGCTTGTAGTTTTGACTGATCGCAAGTTCTGTTTAGAAAATGAAGGTAAATTAAATGTATCGTTTTTCTTGTTGCTTTTTTCCTTCATTTATATTCTAACTTTACTTGCAACACTGAAACTACTTGAGTTATGAGAATCAATTGAAAAGTCACCATAATAAAACTTCTAACATTAATACCAATATACACCCACAGCTTGCTTACTGATATACACCGGCATAAATTACTAAATATATGAAAATCATATGTGTGAACTGCGGTGAAACTGATGAGTATGGAAGCGACCTTCGAAATATTGAACACTACTTAAGCAGTAGTGAAATTAAGGCCTGAAAAAAGTCAGAATATCTCCATAAGTTGACTGACGTCTATCCTAACAATTACTTAATGCAATGCCTAAAGTTAATTTACGTAGATGGAAATAGATCTCTAATTCATCAACGTTAATTGTCTCCGTTTTACATAACACTGAGTCTTCAGAAGCTCCAGGCGAGAAGCGTCTTGCATGCAAGTAACGCGGTGCACAATCTTACATTTTGGTAATTTGGCGGGAGTAGTTTTGCAACATGTCTCGCATCGTGTCTCTCGGTACCTTCATTATGCTGTGCTCTCTGATGTGTGCTATGAACTGCAAAGAAGGTGGGTAGATTTTTTAATCAGTATAAAGAGAAAGTCTTTAAAACTGTTATTTTATAATGTGTTGGAAGCGTGAGTGAACAAAACAATTCATTGCGAGTGTTCTATTGTGACCATTACAAAAATTCCAAGGTTTTCAAAATGTTCTACCTTCTTATAGGAGAGTAAAATGTTTATAAAGCTATTATGAGGAGACAGGTGGGATCTACCTCACGCAAGTTTTTTTAGGCAGGCGGTTGGGATGAAAGGATCATGAAGTTAAGGCTATAAATTCGGCACAAATTCGTGTTGCACTCTCTTTAATTTGTTAGTATGCTTTGACGCTGAAGAAAAAACTCCTTACGTGCCTTTATTTTCATGAGTATGACTATAAATTTAGCCAGCTAAAGTGAAGCTTAATCATCCATTTTTCTCTCAGCATATTTACAAAACGAAATAAATAAGTAGAAATTTCAAAAACCTCCCCCGAAAGTCTAATTAGTCCTTTAACTGCCGCTTTAAAACGATTATCGATTAGCATCAGAAGCAAATATGTAGAATCGTAAAAACGGTCGAAATGTCGACACAACCTTTTTATCGCGTGAACTTCCGTCGACTACACCTAAATCTAAATTTGGAGATAGCTCCTTCTGAAAGAAATTTAATCGTTTTATGGCTTCAAATTAACGGGTAAGGAATTAGTTTCGATAAAACAACGTAATGTCCTTTAGTCATCTTAAGACTGGAATTCAAAAGGAACACAATCCTCTCGAAAGAAATAGTCGAATTTAGTTTTATCTCATCTTTTTGTCATCATTATTTGTATTCTACACTGACATAATGAACTTGGAAAAAAACCGGGACTCTCATGAAAGCTGCCCACTAAATTTTTCTCCAATCTACATCCTAGATCCTAAATTGTTCGTCTTGATACTAACTTTTAGTGTTTTGCAATATCAATCTTCAACAAAATTTGCATCTTTCCCCTTTGACAGGTACAGAACTGAAATATCACATATCAATTATTTACAAAAAATACACTTATGCCTTAATTGAAATCAGCCCCATGTCAAAACTTGGGTGACTTCTGCGAAGTAGTTGAAAACACGAGCTCAAATTGTCCCATAACTCAGCAGATACAAAAGGCGACGCTTTAAGGACAAACGTGAAAATTATAAAATGAAATGAATCTTTTTCAAGGCAACGTCTGTCGCAATCCTGCTTGTTTAAGTCTCTGAAAGTAAAAACAAAGAAAAAAGAAAACATAACACAACAAAACTATAAATTTCGCCCCCTAAACATATCAATAAACTGTTTCAATGTGATAAGTTTTGATATTTATTTGAAAAGAGGCCAAAACAGAAAGCTTAAAGCCTCTCCTGGGAAACCATACAGGTTACACCTGCAGCCACTTCCAATACAACACACTGCATAGTGGCACATATAACACAATCTAAGAACAGCGAACCTTGTGAGAATTTTGCAATTCTAAAGATATGCCCTAGTAAGTTTGACTATCTTTTATTCGAGATCCTCCTTATAAAAAAGAAAAGACCAGACATCAGCCTTATAGATCATTACTCAATATCGTAGTATTCAGTCATGGCTTGTAGTTTTGATTGATTCTAGGTTAACTTTACCAATTCATGTAAGACCATAAAGTCTAGGGAGGGCCATCCACCCTCGTTAAGTTTAGGCAACGACATGATTTTGAGTGCAATTTGGTGTAAATAAGCACGGATACATATTTTTCAAAGACAACAAAATTGCACGAGCCCGAAGGGCAAGTGCGATTTGTAGTCTGAAAAATTTACAAGTGCTTATTACACCAAATTTCAGGGGAATTATGTTATTACTTGTTACAATGTACATCGAAAAAACATCGCAGAAGGTCAAGACAGACGAAATTTTACAACTATGCACCTGCGTTATGACTTTGCAGTCGTGTTACATGAGAATGTACTCGTTTTCAGCCAGTCAGAAGCACGTAATTTTTTCATGTACATTATTAATAAAGTCATTTATTTATAACACTTACTCAGACTCCATTCGGGTGAAATTGTTTGTAGGAATACAAAGCACACTTTTAAGCTTTGTTCTCATTGAAAAAATCATTTATGTATCTTAGCACTTCTATACATATTTACATATAGTACATCAATTATGCCAATCCCTCTCAATTTTGACAATGATAACAGGATATAATCGAAACCTCATGTTGTGGTTTTTTCGTTGATTTAAATTCGTAAAATTTTTGTATGACGTTGACTGCAGTTTCCTTTACCAATTTCTCTACCTCCATCCCTTCCCTATTATTTACCTTTACCACTAGATCCGGTGTCCTTGTCAAATAGAGCATTCCCTTGTAACCAGTGTTATTATGTTCTTTATATCGGAAAATATATTTTTCACAATTCTTTCCTTTAGACCACTGTCGTCAACTGGAGTTCAGAGCTGCCCTTGCATTTAGAGGAAAACGGCTGCTTAACCACAAGATAAAAGAAGTTGACAACGTCGCAAAGGACTTCTGTGGAGCATTGTGTTTTATGGAACCCAATTGTGTGAGCTATAATATATTAGTATCCAATGATTCTCCCTCGATCACCAAATGCGAGATGAATAACGCTACACATTTTGAACATCTGAGTGATCTGGTCTCATTTCCAAACAGCACCTATCGTGGATCCAAGGTGTGTTTATAGCTGCAGTAATTAGGATAATAGAGGTCTTCTTTTGGCCTATCCGTATGTCTTTGTCACAATTTAATTTTTTACTGGTTTATTGATATCTCTTTAATTTTGACTGTAAATATATAAAAACCATGTATGTGAACTGCGGTTAGAGAAATAAATTTGAAAGCGATCTTTGCATTAATGAACTCTACTTAAGCAGTAGTGAAAATAGGACCTGAAAAAAATTGAGGCTTGTACGGGATTTGAACCCTTTGCGATATCGGTGCAGCGCTCTACCAAATGAGCTAACAAGCCTACTGGAACCTGGTCCACAGTTCACATATGTGATTTTCATACATGTACATCAGTCATTTATTCTTCCCTTCACGGGTTTATTTGGAACCAACATAATGACCAGCTCCTAGTTGGCATACTTGACAGTTAGGTTAAGTGCTTTCAACTATCATTTTCTGCAATTAACATGATTAGTACAGAGAAGTAGCTTACAAAATAACACATATTGTTACCGAACGTCAAAGATACGTTTATAAGCATCACTCAATTGCAACCCTGATTTAATTCGATTGCCCTTTAAATATTGAGAGTATGGTATTAGTAAACACAGTTTAAACACCGGATGAAAAAAACACAAGTCTTGAGCTGCTGTAAGTTTAATTCCTAATCTTCTAATTTTTTTATATTATTTGCCTTTCCTTGATTTGCTTTTAATTACTTGTGACCTATTTATTCACAAAGCAGTACTTGTATATTTAATTTGTTATATTGTAAAAAAAAAGCATGTACTGTTAAAGTTTCCTGGAGGTATTGATCATTTTAAACTCTCGTTGTCTCATTCATCTGCCCTCAGAATGGCTTTGTTAATGTACCTCCTTACCCTCCCCTCCCCGCATTGTATGTTGCATAGACATATCCTTCACTTGCCCTTTTTTTGCTTCCTCGTAAAGAACGTTTGCATAAAGAAGCAATGCCCGAATAATGCCATCTGCCAAGCTGGTTTTTCCAGTGAGGGGTATAGATGTGTCTGCGTACCGGGTTACACGGGTGAAGATTGCACAAAAGGTGAGGCAGATATATGTGTTCAATATCTAAGTGTTAGCAGTCACTTAATGATTAGGAAAGTCGGTGACCGTTGTTTCAAATAAATTCTTTTAGTACTCTCCTCATGCACCTTTTTTTTTCACAGAGGATAAAGAAAGAGCAGCGGTAAACTATGAGAGAAAACTAGGGAAGACTCGCGGGGGGGGGGGGGGGGGGGGAGGGGGGGGGGTCGAAAGGCGTTTATCAAGAAGGGGATATCCTCATTGCCGCTTCTAGCAATGGAGACCGCGATGAACCCTCTCTGCAATGCAACCCTGCCAGTAGCTCGACGCGTTTATCGTTCCTGACGGTGCGACTTCTTTCATTAAGTTCAGAATAAAAAATGACTTAATTGCTAAGAGGACGTTAAAGTAAGTGATTTCATGATTTTGTTCTGTATTAGGTGGCTAAGAAAGGTACAAATTTTATAGCGCACGTGCTGCACAATTGTTTTGCTCATTAGATCTTTTGTTTCCCTACGTTTTCTTTACAGTCGCCGTCAAAGTTTTCTTAAAGTCCCTAATAAATTAAAGATGTGCAGACCCTAACTAATTTTGTACTGTGCTTTATTAGAAGTCTGCGGTCTCGAAATCTTTGTAATTGTAATTTCTAAATGATCCTTTCTTTAAGACGTTGATGAATGTGATCTAGGAGAACACAAATGTGATTCAAATGCTGAATGTATAAATACCCGTGGATCCTACGACTGCAAATGTAAAGAAGGATTTACAGGAGATGGCCTAACGTGCACAGGTGAGTGTTGACTGGTTATCACCAAACAGGAAGTACATTATCCATCAGCCATTCTACATGCAGGCCACGACTTATTCCTGCCGCAACACAAGAAGGTCTGAGCCCTATTATTCAGCTTTTACATGCTTGTGTATATGTGGAATTTATTTTATGGTTTAAATTACCGTTAGAAATAAAGGAAAAATGTTTAGAAGCTCATGTAATCTTTTGATGTCACCCATTCCTCCAGACCTCTTAAGAATGTCTTTTCAGATTTTGACGAGTGTAATTTGGTGGATAATAATTGCTTTAAGGGTGGCGCCAATTGTACAAACACTGTAGGGTCATTCAACTGCACCTGCCAGACTCGATATTTCTGGAATGGCATGAAATGCGAAGGTTTGTTTACCCTAATATTATTTAACCCTATGTGAACGTCGTTTCAAGGAGTCTTTCTTACTATTTTTCTGTCTGTTTCTCCCTCTTTTTCTCTCTTTTTCTTGGTCCAATGTTCTCTCTTTGTCATAATACCTATCATTGGACTGTCCGTGTGTCTGTCTTTTTTGTCTGTCTGTCTGATTATAGTTAACTTTGTTCGCCTGTTTATTTTTCCATCTGCTTGTAATTCTTTATCAAAATTAAAACGTAGAAATCGGATTTCAGTTTCATTTTCATTATGTGATGGAACAGTAACGGAGATAACTGACGAGGGCATGTTTTCCGACAAAAAGATGGATTTTTTGAAATGCGAGCATTGATTTGATCAGCGATATTAGTTAATCCTGAGCTACTTCCAGCAAAAACGACTAAACACGAGAGGCACCCAAATGCATCATTTGCCATTGAAAGGGCAAATAACTCTGATGAACACGATTATCATTTCCTCTTTGAATTATATTTGATTCTCTAGCCGATGGTTGTCACAACTACACAAATCTGACAGATTCTAACAGAAAAAGCGATTACGATACACCCGACTATGGTCCTTCTCTGTGTGACAATAATCTTCAGGGATGGCATCGTTTTGTGGGAGCTGCAGGAATAAAAATGCCAACGACACGTGTGCCAGCATACAGATGTGGTACAGACTGGTCAGGTTGGTTGATGACTGCTCATCCTACAGTAGGAGATGGTGAAGTTTCCGGGAAAGTCTGCTTTAGTGATCGTTCCAACGATTGCAAAAGCCACAAAACTATTTTGGTGAAAAACTGTGGATTCTACTTTATCTACAAACTGAGATTACCAGCAGGTTGCAATTCGCGTTACTGTGGGACTGATTATACGGAGGGCTAAAAGTTTTAAGAATTAAAAAAAAAAAAAGAAGAAATTGAATGTAAAGGTTCTAAAAATTCCTTTGTAAATGCATCTGTTGTTTTATATTTGTGCAAATTTCAACTGGTCCTGTTAGCGTGCAGGATTCAGAATGAATGTTTATGATTTTCTCTTATTTACCTCTTTTTAAGCTGAGGTTGACTACAAGTCATTATATCTTTTATCATTTCATTGTGTGTTATTTTCTCGTTTGCAAGTCTCTCCCGAAGTCACAGCTCCCTTCGAAGTTTCGCCTAGACTGCTCTTCAACGTGCATAGTTATCGATCTGGTCATGTTCAGGCATTGACAATTCAGTTTTCCTAATTTGTGTCGAAAGACATGATGGTCATTATCGAATATAACTGATCGCGAAAGAAGACGCGAAGACCTCGACATTTTATTTTACTTTTAAAAATCAGAGACCAGAAAGTGTTGCAACGAGATTGCCTCGGTGACTAATTGGTTTTAACCACAATACTTTTCTGGTTAAAAGGTGGCTGATTTTGGTGTAAGAGCGCATAATCTTAATAAAGAAGTGTCCTTACAACAATCATTTACTGCTGGTGCGTCTTAATGTCGAGATAATTCTGTGCTGTTTAAAAAGTTACAGAAAGTAAATTTTCTCTTTCAATAATGGTTCGATAACTGCTCGTTCCATTTCTTTATTTTCGAGCTAGTGTTAGACCCTAACTGTTCACACTTACAGCGGCAAAAACACTGCAGTCGAACCTCTGTAATACAAAAACCTTATGGAAAAAGCAAAATGTCCGTATAAGAGATTTGCCCATTTCATTAAGTTCAGTACGGTGTAACTCTTAAGATTGATGTATCTATAGAAACATGAACGGCATACTCGTGCTTCTTTTCTCTAAGTCTCAAAAGACCATGATTGTCTGAGACTCAGGGTGCGTTATCTTTACTAGAGAGGGTCTGTATCAGAAAGGAATCTGATATGGATATAGAAAATTGTCTGCCGTACCTATTAACGAGGAGTCGGTATTGCAGAGGTGTCCGTGAGGAAAAGGTTCAACTGTACCGTAAGTGCTTTTGTATTCACAAAAAGTAAACTTTTTCTCGATATTTTCACAACATCAAAAAATTTAGGATCCTTACGAGTTAGGTAAGTCAGTTTTCAATTTGTAGGTTGCTTCATCTGCTACCCTGATCCCTCGCCATAAGTTTAATATTTCAACCGATTTTTTAGGGGATTGTTAAAGTGACTGAGAAAATCGTGGTGGACAAACCTAAACTTTAATTCTGTCCATACAGACGAAGAAAGAAAAATGCTAAACTGGATTCGTTGAGATTTATATTGTACGATAAGGTAGCACCTCAATTAGGTATATCAGTTTACCGTAAATGATTGGAGTAGTTTGATGTATAATTTTAAGACGAACGGTAATTTCAGCAAATAGTTGAGCTTGACGTACTCGTTTCGACTGGAAATAAATTACAATGATTCGGTTTCAGCTATGTTTAAAAAAATAAATACAAAAAGTTATTCAATCCATGGCTGAAATTATTTTCACAGACTCTATCAGGGCCAAGAATTAAACACACTTAAAAAATAAAATAAGGTGATTTTCGTAGTTTATACATTTATATAGTAATTCAAGTAACTCATACAATTCTGATTAAAATTTACGCTTTCTAAATACCCTAAATCTGGCAGTCAGCGAAATCGTATTTACGTTTAAAGAAATTGAACCAACTTAACGCTTCATATCATTGGATCGGTATGCATATTCTCCATACTGGTCTTTTCACATTTACAATGGTATTTATATGGAGAATTTGTTCAACAATTCATAGCTTCTCTGGTAGCGGATCATTTCCCTGATTTCATGACCTTTACGAGTGATCATTTTCCTTATTCTCATGACCTTTACGTTTGATTCAAAGTGTTACTGTAAGGAGAAATAAGACGTCAAACACTCTTAGGAATTAAAACATTAGAAGAAACCGATACAGAGTAGAATAAATAATAGTAATTGAACTAAGTGGAATGCAATTTGTCTCGGTAATCACATGATTTCGAGTGCAATTTGGAATAAATAAGCACGAGTAAATTTTTTTAAAGACTAACAAATTGCACAAGCCCGTAGGGCGAGTGTAAGTTGCGGTCTTTGAAAAAAATTAACAAGTGCTAATTTATTCCAAATTGCACAAGAAAAATCATGTGATTACGTGTTAATAGTATACATGAAAAAATACGAGATACCTTTTCATAATAATTCAATTTTCGCAATAATAATTTATTCAAACCGCGCGTTCGGTCAAAACAACCGCGCACGATCAAAATAATAATATACAATGATATCTTCACATCTTCAAGGCGCAAAAAATTTCAAAGTCCGGCTAAACAATTCAAGGAATTGTTCTGTCTGTGTCCAAATCGTTTTCGATGAAATGGCATCGTCGTTTCCGAGGTTTAACCATGTTTCTTTTTAATTTCGGCGTAAGATCGCTCGAGCAAAGTGTTAAGCTGGTTCGGCTCGTAATTTTCGATTTCCTTGGCAATTCCATTCTCTAAACACCACTTTTTCCAAACCGACAACCAAAAAGCAGTGCTTTTTACAGTGTTTTCGTTGTTAGAGTTGTTTTTCAGCTGCGGTGGCGAAAGAAAACCTGCTTAAAACGCCGGCCATTGTTTCGCTCGCAAATTTTCAAACTTTTTTTTTTCGTTGCGATATCCAAGGCTTGCATTTGATTGGCTATCTGTGAGTTTCTTTGATTATTGACTGGTCAGAATATCTGGTTTGTTACTTCTTTTGCACTGAATTTACTCTCTTCTTCACTGAATTACCTGAAAACTGCATTTATCATAAACCAATCAGAACTGAGTAATTTTTTCATGTCTATTATTTATTGTTTAGATCGTACGTGGTTGTTTTGACCGAACGCACAATGTCATTAGCAGGGTTTGAATAAATTATTTTTGCACTTGAGGCGCGCGCTTTGCTTCTGCATAATTATGTTAAGCTATCTCGTAGTTTTTCATTTATATTATTAATACGTAATCACAAGATTTTTTCTTGTAGATAAGCACTTGTAAATTTTGTAAATTTTTTCAAAGACCACAAATTTTGTTAGTCTTTAAAAAAATTTACTCGTGCCCACTTATGCCAAAAGCACTCGAAATCATGTGATTACCTTTACTTATGCACTAACTTTACTTGCAACACTGACACTACTTGAATGATAAGGATCAATTAAAAAGCCACCATAATAAAACTTCTAACATTAATACCAATATACACTCACGGCTTGCTTACTGATATACACTGACATAAATGACTAAATACATTAAAATCATATATGTGAATTGCGGTTGAACGCTAATTAGGCAGTAGTGAAATTAAGGCCTGAAAAAAAGTCAGAATATCTCTCCTAAGGTGTCTGACGTCTACCATAACAATTACTTAATGCAATGTCTAAAGGTAATTTACGCAGATGGAAATAGATCTCTAATTCATCAACGTCAGTTGTCTCCGTAGTACATCACACAGAGTCTTCAGTAGTTCCAGGCTAGAAGCGTCTTACATTCTAGTAACGCAGTGCAAGATTTTACATTTTGGTAATTTTGCAGGAGTAGTTAATTTGGCAAGATGCGTCGCATCTTGTCTCTTGGTACCTTCACTGTGCTGTGCTCTCTGATGTGTGTTATGAAATGCAAAGAAGGTGGCTAGATTTTTAAATTAATACCAGAGAAAATTTTTAAAACTGTTAATTTATAATGCGTTTAAAGCGGGAATAAACGAAAGTAATTCATTTCGAATGTTCTACTGTGACTATTACAAAAATTCCCAAGTTGTCAATATTTTCTACCTTCCTATAGGAGAGTAAAAATGTTTATAAAGCTATTATGAGGAGATGTGAATCCTCAAAGACAGGTGGGATCTATCTCACGCAAGTTTTTTTTAAGCAGGCGGTTGGGATAAAAGGACCATGAAGTTTAGGCTATAAATTCGGCACAAATTCATGTTGCACTTTCTTTAATTTGCAAGCATGCTTTAACGCTGAAGAAAAAACTTCCTACGTGCCGCTAATGTTATGGAATGACTCTGAAATTTAGTGAGCTAAAGTGAAGCTTAATCATCCATTTTTCTCTCAGCATATTTACACAACGAAATAAATAAGTAAAAAACTTCAAAAACCTCCCCGAACATCTAATTAGTCCTTTAACTGTCGTTTTGAAAATGATTTTCGATTAGCATCAGAAGCAAATATGTAGAATTGTAAAAGCGGTGGAAATGTCGACACAACCTTTTTATCGCGTGAACTTCCGTCGAATACACCTAAATCTAAATTAAGAGATAGCTCCTTCTGAAAGAAATTTATACCTTTTAGGGCTTCAAATTCACGGGTAAGGAATTAGTTTCAATTAAACAACGAAATATCCTTCGGTTATTTAGAGACTGGAATTCTAAAGGAACACAATCATCTCGAAAGAAATCGCCGAATTTAGTTTTGTCTCATCTTTTTATCATCATTATCTGTATTCTAAACTGATATGAACTTGGAAAAACACTGGGACTTTCATGAAAGTTGCCCACTAAATTTTTCTCCGATCTACATCCTGGATCTTAGATCCTGAATTGTTCGTCTCGATACTAACTTTTCGTGTTTTGAAATGTCAATTCTTCAACAAAATTTGCATATTTCCCCTTTGACAGGTACAGAACTGAAAAATCAACCATCAATTATTTCCAAAAAAAATACAGTTATGCCTTAATTGAAATCAGCCCCATGTCAAAAGTTTGATGACTTCTGCGAAGTCAGATTATCCCATAACTTATCAGATACAAAAGGCGACGCTTAAAGAACATACGTGAAAATTATAAAATGGAACAAATCGTTTTCAAGGCAATGTCTGTTGCAATCCTGCTTGTTTGAGTCTCTGAAATAAAAAAAAACAAAAAACAAAAAACAAAAGATACCAAAACAAAACTATAAATTTCTCTCCCTAAACATATCAATAAACTCTTTCAATGTGATAAGTTTCGACATTTATTTGAAAAGAAGACAAAACAGAAAAATCATAAACTTTAAGCCTCTCCTGGGAAACCATTGAGATTACACCTGCAGCCAAACAACGCACTGCATAGTGGTACATACAACACAATCTAAGAACAGCGAACCTAAGTGAGAATCTCACAATTTTAAAAAAAATGCCCTAGAAAGTTCGACTATCTTATATTCGAGATCCTCCCTATAGAAAAAAAAGACCAGACATTAATCTCACAGAACATTACTCAATATCGTAGTATTCAGTCATACCTTGAAGTTTTGATTGATTCTAGGTTACCAGGTCACATAAGACCATAAAGTCTAGGGAGGACCATAGATTTGCTAGTCAAGTGCTATGTAGCGTTTAACCTTGTTAAGTATAGGCAATAAAGTTATTTCGAGTGCAATTTGGTGTAAATAAGCACAAGTGTATTTTTCAAAAACAACAAAATTGCAAATTGCACTAGCCCGTAAGGGAAGTGCAATTTGTAGTCTTTGAAAAATTCGCAAGTGCCTATTATACCAAATTGCAAGAGGAATCATGTTATTACTTCTCAATAATGTACACGAAAAACATTGCAGAAGGTCAAGACAGACGAAATTTTAAAAGCGTGCGCGCTCTATTTGTGATTTGCACTCGTGTTACAACTTTGCACCTACGTTATGACTTTGCTCTCGTGTTACATGAAAATGCACTCGTTTTCAGCCAATCAGAAGCGCGTAATTTATAACACTTACCCAGATTCCATTCGGGTGAAATTATTTGTATGAATACAAAGCCCACTTTCAAGCTTTGTTCTCATTAAAGTAATAACTTATGTACCGTAACATTTCAATACATATTAACATATAGTATATCAATTATGCCAATCCCTTTCAATTGTGACAATGATAACAGGATGTAATCGAAACCTCATGTTATGGGTTTTTTATTGATTTAAACTCATGCACTCTTTGTATTATGTTGATTGCAGTTTCCTCTACCAATTTCTCTACCTCCATCCTTTCCCTAGTATTTACCTCTTCCACTAAATCCGATGTCCTTGTTAAATAGAGCATTCTCTTGTAACCAGTGGTATTATGTTCTTCCTAACAGAAAATACATTATTCATCATTCTTTTCTGTAAACCAATGTCGTCAACTGAAGTTAAGAGCTGCCCTTACATTTAGAGGAAAACGGCTGCTTAACCACAAGATAAAAGAGGTTGACAACGTCGCAAAGGACTTCTGTGGAGCATTGTGTTTCATGGAACCAAGGTGTGTCAGCTATAATATACTAGTATCCAATGATTCTCCCTCGATCACCAAATGCGAGATGAATGACGCTACACATTTTGAACATCTGAGTGATCTGGCGTCATTTCTAAACAGCACCTATCGTGGATCCAAGGTGTGTTTATAACTGCAATGATTAGGATAATAGAGGTCTTCTTTTGGCCTACCGTAAAATCTTTGTCATAATTCAAATTTTTACTGGTTTATTCACATCTTTTTTTATTTTGGCTGTAAATATGTAAAAACCATATTTGTGAACTGCGAAAATTCAGGCTTGTACGGGATTTGAACCCATGACTTTTGCGATAACGGTGCAGTGCTCTACCAACTGAGCTAGCAAGCCAGCTGGGGGCTGGTTCGCACTTCACACGTATGATTTTCATATATTTTGCAGTCTTTTATTCTTCCCTTCACGGTTCATTTGGAACAAACATAATGAGCAGCTCCCAGTTGGCATACACGACAGTCAAGTTAAGTGCTTTCAACTATCATTGTTTGCATTTAACGCAATTGGTACGGAGGCGTAGCTTACAAAATAACGCTTATCGTTATCTCACCGAAGTTTCGATATTTACCGAACGTCAAAGATACGTTTATAAGCATGACTCAATTGGAACCTTGATTGAATTCGATTGCCCTTTGAATATGGAGAGCATTGTATTAGTAAACACAGTTTGAGCACCGGATAAAAAAAATACAAGTCTTGAGCTGCTGTAATTTTAATTCCTAACCTACGAATTTTTTTCAATTATTTCGCCTTCCTTCATAGGCTTTTAATCAATTGTGACCGATTTATTTACAAAGCAAGTACATGTATATTCAATTTATTGTATTATAAAAAAAGCATGTATTGTTAAGGTTACCTGGAAGTATTGCCAACACTTGATGATCATTTTAAACTCTTGTTATTTTATTTATCTGCCCTCAGAATGGCTATGTTTATGTACCTCCTTACCCGCCCTTCCCGCCTTGTAAGTTGCACAGACATATCCTTGACTTTTCCCTTTTTGTATTTGTAAAGAACGCTTGCATAAAGAAGCCATGCCCTAGTAATGCGATCTGCCGAGCTGGTTTTTCCAGTGAGGGGTATAGATGTGTCTGCGTAGCGGGTTACACGGGTAAAGATTGTACAAAAGGTGAGGCAGATATATGTATTCAATATCTAAGTGTTAGTAGTCACTTAACGATTAGGAAAGTCGGTGACCGTTTATTTTATTTAAAGTGTTCAGTACTCTCCTCGTGCATTTATTTTCTCGTCGAGGATAAAGAAGGACTATCAGTAAACGGTGAGAAAAACTTGAGGAAAGGCAATAGCCTCATTGCCGCTTCTCGCAACGCAATCCAGACAGTAACTCGACGCGTTTACTGTTTCTAACGGTGCGGCATCTTCCCTTCAGTTCAAAGTGAAATGTGATCGCATTACTGCGGAGATTTCCCTGTAAGTAGGACGTGAAATTTGGTTATTTGACGTCTTTTTTCTTGTATAGTACAGCTAAGAAAAGCACAAGTTTTATAACACACGTGCTACGTAATTTTTTTGCTCATTAGTTCTTTTGTTTCACTATGTCTACGGTCTACGTCCTAAAAGTCGCTTATAAATTTGAAATATGCTGACCATCACTCCTTGTAAAATATGAGTTATTAGTTGTCTGTGCATGGCAGAAAACCAAAAACTTGGTGATTGAATTACTTCAAATTTTTTTCTTTAAGACGATGATGAGTGCAGTCTGGGAGAACACAAATGTGATTCAAATGCTGAATGTACAGCTGCAAATGTAAAGAAGGATTTTCAGGAGATGGCCAAACGTGCTCAGGTGAGTGTTGACTATTCTCCATCGGCAATTCTACACAAAAGCTGCACCGCATTCCTGTCATAACACCAAAAGGTCTATATATGAGTCCTTTTCTTCAACTTTTGCATGCTTGTTCGTGTGCCATATATTTTATAGTTTGAATGTCAGATCGATAGAGCTTAGTTTATCAACAGTGACTAAATTGTCTATTTGAAAGTAAAAATGCTTAAAAGCTAATTTAATCTTTTAGAGTTATTCATTCCACCAGACCTCATATCAATGTCTCTCTGTTATTTTCAGATATTGACGAGTGTGCTTTGGTTAATAATAATTGTACCAAGGGTGGCGCTAATTGCGCAAACACTATAGGGTCATTCAACTGCACCTGCCAAACTCAATACTTCTGGAATAACATAGAATGAAAAGGTTTGTTTTCTGTACCTCTATCTTGCTCGATGGGAATATCATTTTATGGAGTTTCATTAATAAAATTTTTAAACCATTTAGAAATAACCGTCTGTCTAGCTGTCCGTCTGGTTGTCTGAGCCTTCATTTTTTCGTCTGTTTGTGTGTCCATATGTTCGTCATTCTGCATTTCCTTTGAAACGTTGGAATAAGCCCACTTCTGAGTTCGTGGACTTCAGTAACCTGGTGCCGAAATTACGGCGTGAGAACGAGGCTAAGTGCGAAGTTGCCCTCATCGGTCTACAGAATAAAAAGTCATGTTAGTGACAATAAGCGGAAATTTCTCGAAATTCGGTGTTGGAGAGTGAAAAATTGTTCGTGGGAGAGAGGCATTTAACTTAGTGATGGCGGCAAAGTAACAAAAAAAGCCTAACTGTTCAATTTGAGCAAGAAAACAGATCAAACAAGCCGCTGCCGAGCATCTCGCATTAAGTGAGAAACACTTTAAATGCGCAATTTACTTCGACTTTTGATAATTTTTCTTGGCAACTTCATTTGACCTGACTGATAATTTCCCGTTTCGCCCTCGTTTAAACTCCCTCATCAAAATATGGGTCATTGCCAAAATTCATTTTCGATTCTGGTGTGCCTTCAATACAAGGGTGGCAGGATTCTCGTTGTAAAAAATAATTTAGGGGACTGGTGCTCGCCCTATATTCATTCTAATCTTTGGAGAAAAGAAGGCAATTGGAATGTCAATGCCGAGCTGGTTCAAAAATTTCCGTATGTTTTACACAACATCGTCGCCGTAATGTGTCAAGTGCCTGTTTATATTAAAAAAGGGTGGTAATAATGCTTAAATAATCCTGACGATGAATGATGATGAGTTCTAGTATCAAGGTGATTCTTTTTCGAATTACTATTAACTTTCCAGCCGACGGATGTTTTAACCACTCAACTCTGAGCAACGCTGACAGAAAGAGTACTTACAATACACCCGGCGGAATTGAAGGTGAGTGTGACAATTCGCTACATGTGGGATGGTATCGTTTTGAGGGAGATGTAGGGCCAAAAATACAAACAACGCCAGTGGATGATTATCACTATAATACAGTCTTCTCAGGCTGGTTGAATGGTGCTGAACCTACTGAGGGAGATGATGAAGTAGAGAGATTCTGCTTCACCAGAACTACTAACATTTGCAAGAATTCAATTACAGTCATAATGAAAAGCTGTGGATCCTACTTTATCTACAAACTGGTTCCACCTCCGGCTTGGTAATTCTCGTTACTGTGGCACAGAATAAACATGAAGTAGATAAATAGGAAGAAAGTTGCAAGTGAAAAACTGAGCGGGCATAATTTTTTGTTTTTAATTATTCTAAAATTTAAGCTGATTCTGTTGTATTGCCAGGTGCAGTAACTTCAAAATGAATACTCGTGATGTAAATCTTCAGTTCAATGTTGTATGTCATTATCGTGTTTGCCAGCCCGGCCGAATTTACATTTATCTTTAAACTTGCGCCTGAGCCGCTTTTCAAAGTCCATGGTCATATGTGGTTACTTGCCTGCACTGAAAATGAACTTAATCTAATATTTGCGTTAAAAAGACACGATCGACATAACCGAATCGTTCACGGAAGAAGACGCGAAGACCTCGGCATTTATATTCCATTTAAAAGAAAAAGGCGTCAGAAGAGATTATATTGAGATTGCTTTGTATAAATAAGTGTTTTTATCCAGTATTTGAAAGGGAAAAAGACTATACTTTTGGCATCATATATGCTACAAAAAGAAAGAAAAAAGAAAACATAAAAATGTCACAACAATAATCATTCACTGATGGTGCCTCTCAATGGCGAGATAATTCTGCTTTGTTTAGACCTTAAGCGAGAAAATAGTTTTTACTGACTAAGGTTATTACAGTTCCAACATGGAAACTGCTGATAGAATCTCATTTTTCTGTTTAAGCAAAATTGTTAGCTTTGAAATCTAGGAAAAAGACAAGGCATCACTTAAAAAAAAAAAATTAAATAAAGGTACCTGCTTGTTCCTTTTTTTCATTTTCGAGCTAACTAAAGACTCCAACTGTTATAAGTCGCTGTGCCAAAAAACAGTAGTTGAAACACTGTAATACAAAAACCCAATGGACAAAGCAAAATTTCCGGATAAGAGATTTGTCCATTGCGTTCAGAACGGTAAAGTCACTCTTAGCTTAAGATTGAAGCGGCTATAGAAACATGAACAGGCATACTCTTCTCATCACATGAATGTCAGACAAATGTAAAGATAACATAAATGTCTGAGATTTAGAGGATCCGTATAAAACAGATTTTTTTCCTAACAAAACATACATGGATTTGATTTGCTCTCCGTAAAGAATTAGCGAGGTACCCGTATCACAAAGGTGTTCGTAGGAGGTTCAGCCGCACCTTAAAGCAACCGATACCGAGTAGAATTGTAAACAATTATTTGATGAGGTTTTTGTGATATCTAGAATAATCAAGGTCGAGGTATCTGCTGAAGCCGAAGGCAGATAACCCCGACTATTATGGATACCACAAAAACCGAAATTAACAATTGTTTTATAATACATAGAACAAAAAAATGGGCACGATAGTAAAACAAAATTCATTTGTTCCTTTTAGCAACCACGATCAACCGTAAGGTAAATAAATGGCAAAGCGTGCGAGTGTTGAAACCTGTCTTTGTTGGCAGTCACAACGTAGATTTACATAGTCTTACCAAAGTTTTCGAACAGAACTTTTAGTCACCCCTCTAGTTTAGCCTTTTAGTTATTTTGGGTGTCCCACTACTGTATGTACTGGTTATTTATTTATTTATAATTATATTCTTGTAAATTCTTTTAGTTGTTTACAGTAGTAGAAATAAACTGTTGTTGTTATTTTTCACCTGGGACCTTGAGTCAGGATACTGTCACGTGGATATTTTTAGCTGGCATCAGATGATTTCAGAGTTTTCCTGGCTCTTTAGCGGTATAGAATCGATACTCGCAGTTATGATTTCATATATTTACAGCCATTATTGACCACTTGAAAGGTTTATTGACCAGCTCCCAGTTGGCTTGTTAGCTCAGTTGGTAGTGCGCTGCACCGACATCGTAGAGGTCATCGTTAAACTTCGCAAATTGTTTAGCCGGACTTTGACCTTACTTTGCGCCTTAAAGATGTGAAAACATCATTGTATTTTATTGTTTAGATCGTGAGCGGTTGTTTTGACCGAACTCACAAAGTCATTTGCAGGATTTGAATAAATTATTTTTGCACTTGATGCACGCGCTTTGCTTCTGCATAATTATGATAAGCTATCTCGTAGTTTTTCATGTGTATTATTAATACGTAATCACATGATTTTTCTCGTAAATACGCACTTGTAAATTTTGTAAATTTTTTCAAAGACCGCTAATTGCAGTCGCCCTACGGGCTCGTGCAATTTTGTTAGTCTTTAAAACAATTTACTCGTGCCTATTTATTCCAAATTGCACTAGAAATCATGTGATTACCTATACTTATATACTAACTTTACTTGCGTGACTGACACTACTTGAATAATGAGGATCAATTGAAAAGCCACCGTAATAAAACTTAATACCAATATACACCCGCAGCTTGCTTACTGATATAGACTGGCCTAAATGACTAAATCATAGTATCTCGTAGTTTTTCATGTATATTATTAATATGTGATCACATGATTTTTCTCGTGCAATATGGAGTAAATAAGCCCCTTTAAATTTTGACCGCAAATTACACTCTCCCTACGGGCTTGTGCAATTTTGTCAGTCAAAAATTTACTCGTGCTTAGTTGTTCCAAATTGCACTCGAAATCGTTTGATTACCTATATTTATATACTAGCTCTTCTTGCAACGCTGACACTGTTTGAATAATGAGGATCAATTGAAAAGCCACCATAATAAAACTTCTAACATTAATACCAATATACACTTACAGCTTGCTTACTGATGTACACTGGCCTAATTGACTAAATACATGAAAATCATATATGTGAACTGCGGTGAAAGAGATAAGTATGGAAGCGACCTTCGCGGTATTGAACACTATTTAAGCAGTAATAAAATTAAGGCCTGAAAAATAGTCAGAATATCTCCATAAGGTCTCTGACGTCTACCATAACGATTACTTAATGCAATGCCTAAAGGTAGTTTACGCAGGTGGAAATAGATCTCTAATTCATCAACGTCAATTGTCTCCGTAGTACATCACACAGTCTTCAGTAGTTCCAGGCAAGAAGAGTCTTGCATTCTAGCTTAAATGGGAGAGTAGAAGAATGAAAAAAATAAAAAAAAAACTTGATAAGGCCTATAAGAAAAAACTCACTTCAAGAGCTAAGGAGAGAATCCTACCCAGAGTTGATGGGCAACCTTCTCTGAGATGCCCACCAACTGAAAATTTTCCGGGGTGGGCAATAAGGCAGTAAAAAAAATTGTTTTATCAATTTAAAAATGTATAATATATCCAGATCATAAAGTATCAATCAGCCATGTCTAGAATGAAGGTCTTTTACATGCCTGCGTGAGACTTCTTTTTCATTGAATATGTTAATTAGCAATTTTAATCTTATCTAAAGTAAGTAATTGTGAATTCTTCAATTTTATATTTAATTTCCTCCATATGAGATACTTTTTTCCATATTGATGTACAGGTCGGCAAATAATTGATAGCTATCGCAAATTTAAATTGATTTAGAAAAATATACTGATTTTTTAGATTGATAGGTTGAACTTATTTTTTATTGTTAGTATCAGTTCAAATTGCATTTCTAAGTGGCTGGATTTGAGAGTGAAATTTGTGAATTAATAGCTTTTTGTGTAGTGTGTTGCTACAGCTAGTTATATTCTGTAGTTCTTATATTTCTATAGTGATAAAGATTCGATTCTATTCTATTCTATATAGATGACTGAGATTATATGAATTATACATTAATGAAAGAGAAACAATCTTAATAAAGTATGACAATTAGTAATTCAAACATTTGGATGTCTCTTTTTTACTTATGTAAGTGCCTCAAATGAGATATCCTCAGCTTTATTGTGGGTTTACTCTATCTCAGGGGAGGAAGTGAGTTTTGAACAAAACTGTTTCATCACTGCAATTTCAAACATTCTGTAATTACTTGTATGTGTGATGTCTCTTTTTTTAACAATTTAGAAGTTTCCCAAAATATTATAAGTTATCATAATATAAATGTGGGTGTGATTAAGCAAATCAAAAGTCAATTTAAGGTGAAACCTACAGCTTTTAGAGGCACTTAAAGGTCACTAAATGATGAATTTTAACAAAACTTGAAATTTAAGAGGACCTGAAATTACAACTAAAGATGAATTACAACAAAACCTGCAACTTTAAGTAGTACTTAAAGGGAAACAAAAGATTAAAGAAACCTTTAAGTTGCCTTTACAAGTAGAAGTTTTGGCAATTAAAGACGAGTTTACGAGAATTAGGAGGATTCTTAAAGTCAATTAAATGGTTATTTAGGTTTACTTTCATGTGATCCTAAAGTGTTCATGAAATGGTTCATAAGGAGACTTTAATTGACTTCTGAAAGTTCAATTAAAGATTCATTTCAGAACTTTCGTATGTCACCTAAAGATGTCTTAAATACTTCTAATGTTAACCTTTAAGTTACCTTTAAGGAAACTTAATTTAGTCATTTCATCCTGTGTCTAGTAAGGCAGTGCACGATTTAACATTTTGGTAATTTTGCAGGAGTAGTTTGGCGAGATGCCTCGCATCTTGTCTCTTGGTACCTTCACTGTGCTGCGCTCTCTGATGTGTGCTGTGAAATGCAAAGAAGGTGGGTAGATTTTTTAAATTTATATCAGGGATAATTTTTAAAACTGTTAATTTATAATGCGTTTGAAGCGGGAATAAACGAAAGTTATTCGTTTCGAATGCTCTATTGTGACTATTACAAAAATTCATAAGTTGTCAAAATTTTCAACCATCCTGTAAGAGAGTAAAAATGTTTATAAAGCTATTATAAGGAGACGTTAATCTTCAAAGACAGGTGGGATCTACCTCACGCAAGTTTTTTTAAGCAGGCAGTTGGGATAAAAGGATCATGAAGTTTAGGCTATAAATTCGGCACAAATTCATGTTGCACTCTCTTTAATTTGTTAGTATGCTTTGACGCTGAAGAAAAAACTCCGTACGTGCCGTTATTTTCATGAGTATGACTATGAATTTAATCAGCTAAAGTGAAGCTTAATCATCCATTTTTCTCTCAGCATATTTACACAA